TGAGTGTGTGTGGGTAGCACCGACATGAATATAGGTCAGATCTTCTCAGAGAGACGAGTTCTTATAAGGTTATCAACCAGCGCCTCTGGCACTCACTTCCTGTTTCTCTGTATGGAGCTTTCCACAAAGACAAACTATCTTCATTACACACAATGCTATGCAGTGTCCTTTCTAACCCATTTTCCTTAAAAAAAAAAAAAAAAAAAAAAAAAAAGAAAGTGTGCCATGTTGCTTTCCAGCTGTTTGTTGTCTTGTGGAACGGCTTTTTCAGACTGTAAATGTATCATATTATATTGCTTTAAAATTAATAATAATAATAATAATAATAATAATAACATAATAGATATTGTAAGAATAAGTAATTTAAATAAAAGTAACCATAAAATAAATAAATAATTCCAGAGTTCCACAGCTTGGGAGCATATACATTAAAAGTATCCACACTACTTAGTTTGTGTTTTGTCCTTTCCCTCCATCTTTCCCACTGTATCATCCAAGGAGCAATAGTCCTACTTAATACAAAACAAAGCAACAAAGCAGTTCCTTCACTTACCAAAATTCACCACATTATTGATCTGGGGCTTCTGAAAACACTGACCAACTAATTACACTAAAGTTGAACAACATGAAATTCAACACATTCAAGCAATGAACCAATTCGATGCCATGTTAATCATACGCTATATACAGTCAACACCAGAATTATTGGAAATCATCAAGAGAATGGGCAAAAGTAAATGGGTATAAAACAAACATCACACACAGTGATTTACATTTTCCACATAAACGGCACTTACCTTTCCTCAAACAGCAAATCTATCTCAGAAGAACTTCTTTCTTTGAATAACTGTATGTCCTAAACTTATTGATACCACAAAGAATATTTACAATAACTGCAATCATGCTTGGAACAGCTTTTTAAAAATCGATTTCAGTCTCCAGAAATGTTGCACAACTTCATTGCTGCTTTTAAGTCATCCAGAGGCTCTAATGAATATTCTTGATTTTGCTATGTACTACATTACAATTATACAATTGCTGCAAAAGCTCAATTCTGTATGCGCAGTAGGCATGTTTGTTAAGTTCTTTTAAAAGTCACTAAACAACCATTTTTCTTCATTGTCTCATAGTAAACAAATGGTTAGATTTTAATCCAAAATTGGATTTTGCTTTCTCCTGTATGGGAGGGCAGTTCCTAAATGAGATTGACTTAACTCAAATTAATAAGTTTGCAGAGGTTTTTTTTTTTTGATGAACTTGCAAAGCATCATTCACAAAACTCATCTTTTTTAAGTTTATGAAAAAAATCTTTGGTTAGGTTGAATAAGTGTATTAGACATAGTTGTCCTGACTTTTTCATGGATTTTTGCTCAACCAAGACAACAAAACCAGTCATTTAAACTTTTTTCAAGTTGGGTTTTTTACAGTGTAGAAATATATTTGTTTACCTCTGCCAGGAGGTTAAGACTTGGCCATAAATGCAGCTTTCAGCAAGGTAGTTTCCCTGAATATAACTTTAAATCAACACAGTAATGGTTGCAGAAACACAAAATCAGTGTAAGTCTAAACTCTCTTGAAAACCCATGGTCTGAATTGAAGAGAAAAGTCCACGTGCACAGCGCTCAGAATATAAATGATCTTGAAATGCATGGAAGATTAGTCCAAGATCCCTCTACAAGTTTCTCCAGCCCTAATAGCCATGACAGGAAGAGGCTGAGTGCTGTTATTTTCTATTCTCTCTTAAGCTTCACCAACTACTGTGAAGCTATTGTGTTGGGGTTGTGTAACTATTGTGTTTGTTTGGGAAAAAAAGTATATAGTGTTAAAATGGAAGTATACTGTAGAGTTGCACCATATGTTGAAGCTCATATCACAAATTCTATGTTTTACTGTATACTATTTTGCTTAATTTACATGAAGGGTGCCAATAATTATGCAGATTAACTGTACAGTATATAATAAATCTATAGTCTATAAGTTCTGTTATGATATTAACCTTCTGCTTGAGACCTGAGTATAAATCTGAAGGAATATCTATTATAAGCTGTTCCTATCCTCCAGTCCAAAAGACAGTTATGTCAGTGTAAGATATCAGATAATCAATATTAATACACACTTATATGAACTTGTCTGAGGGTGCTTCTCTCTTCATCTCAGAGAAGAGTGAATTTTTACTGACAAGTATGATTCCTGCTAATATTAAAAGGATGTTTTAAGTTGTTGTTGTTGTTTTATGTGCACAATTCACAAAAAAACCCCAAAGTATTACATACATCACTCACAATTCAAAATTCACAATATTTGTTTTGTTTTCTCAAATGCCATGATATACTTCACAGGATGAGAGGATTTCCATCAACTGGAAGTTCCATATTTCTGACAGTAATATGTACAGTAGGCTTCATTTACTAAATTGTTAGTGAAGGTGTCTGTAAATGTTTTCAGTGACCAAAGTGAACTAAAAAATTCCCATCAGATTTACAAACGTTTCAGTACCACTCATTTCCTTTACGCTCATGAAGTATGTTCATAAATGCCAGTCACCTGTAAAGCGCGTTCATGGCACAGCTGATTTATATTTAATGACACCAAAAAAAAGCAAGCTGAAAACATCAAAATGATGACTAGATGGTGAAAGCTTCTGAAGGCAAGGGCAAGCACTGTGAAGGCAAGCGCTGTATCTTCCAGTAATGCAGCTCAGCCATTGCAGTGCATCGGCGACCACAAACACTCACTAACTCTTCCTCCTCTTCTAGGGCGCCATTTCTTTTCTGCTAATTCAATGGCTAGACTTATTTATCTTCATCATTAGATTGTTTTGGATTGCTTTCTTCCAAGTCATTAGTATCAAACAACATTTAGAAAATTTTCGTTTTTATATACAGAAGTTGTGTATGTAATTAAATTAAATTAAACATAATCGTTAATATAAACATAAAAATTCAAATTTAAACAAACTCTTGTAGGAGCTCTTGTAGGATACAGTTTTTTTTTTTAATGAACTAACTGTATTGTCATAGCTATGCCATTCCATCTGTAAATGCTCCTTTGAACAATTTGTTCCAATCTAGCTTGATAAATAAATTAATGAGATTAATTCTTGTCTTAATCACTAACTTCTTATGAAACTCTATCTACTTTTAGATCATATAAAATCGTATGAAGTTTTAGGGCCTACATGCTTTGTCTGTGTAGGGGAGCATTTTGTAAGAGGTTCTTTGGACTAAAGCAAGGTTCTGGTTCTATAAATACAGCCTTGGAGCGTCACAGCACAGCACACTGCCTCACTTTTTATGTAATAATTAGTTTAAGAATTAACTCGAGGAGTGAATCAGAGCCAGGAAGTCACCAAATTGTACAATAAATCTAGTGCCTTTTCTTTAACCCTGCACTGAGACCTAACACAAAACTGTAACGCAAAAAGGCAAATGTTCATCTTCTTAATCTTCACTTGACATATTAATAAGAGCAATGGCATGATCTAGTAGAACATACACAGTAGGTCTGCATGATGTCAGCAGTAAGAGGAAACAAGCTTCAAGCTTATATATAAAACACAATGCTTCATTATAGGGAGATGATACACTATATGGCCCCAAGTCTGTGGAAACCTGATCATCACAGCCATATGTGCTTGTTGAACATCTCATTCCAGATTTAGTCCCCCTTTCACTGTTATAATAACCTCCACTCCTCTGGGAAGGCTGTCCACTAGATTTTGGAGCATGGCTGTGGGGATTTGTGCTCATCCAGCCACAAGAGCATTAGTGAGGTCAGGCACTGATGTCAGATGAGGAGGTCTGCGGTGCATTTTGCATTCCAGTTCATCCCAAAGGTGTTCAGTGGGGTTGAGGTCAGGGCTCTGTGCAGGACACTCAAGTTCTACCACTCCAACCTTCATAGACCATGTCTTCATTTAGCTTGGTTTGTGCACAGGGGCATTGTCATGCTGGAACAGGTTTGGGTCTCTTAGTTGAAGGGAAGTGAAGGGAAATTGTAATATTACAGCATACAAAGACATTACAGAGAATCGTTTGCTTCCAACTTTGTGGCAGTTTGAGGAAGAACCACATATGGGTGTGATGGTCAGGTGTCCACATACTTTTGGCCATATAGTGTGAGTTGCATCAATGGCTGATGGGGAAAATTCCTTACATCATATGCTTTCTGAGAAAATAGAAGTTCAATTCTTCAAGCAACCACCAGAAATGATTCTGTATATTTAACTCTGTGGGAGGTCAAAAACATGAATTAACAATATAGTGTTTGTGTGAACCCTTAGTAGAGACTGACAGAGACTGCTCAGTAAATTAAAATTATTTATATCACAGTGCTGTTGAAAGCTGGATTTCAGATTGGTCAAAAGGTATTGGTTAATTTGGCAATATCGCACTCACAATATTGCTTTTATACAACAGTTCTATAAGCAAGAAAATCATGTCAAATATTTTGTCTATTTAGCCACACTTACACTTTATGGCTTTCTACATTCCTGTTAAAGGTGCTTCCGGTGAAACTGGCTTCCCTTCTTCCTTTTCATCTTCATCTGAAGAGCTTTTATATTTTAAGTCAAAAGTTATATTCCTGAAAATGATCCTTTGCCATGCCCAATGATGACATCACGAACACTACTGTAATAACTGTTCTGAACTAGGAAGTGGAATTTTACATGGCGAATACAGACGAGCGGAGTGATACACTCAGCGAAACACCCCAGTGTGGTTATAATAAATATAGGCACTCTTGGAACGCTGCTCGACCAATCAAATTAGTGGACTGGAACTAACTGTTGTATAATTTTAACAGCAGGTCTGACAGTAGTGCCAGCTGCATGACAAATCACAGATTTATTATGTTGATTCATTTTTTATAACAGCAGCTCTGACAGATGTTCCGACTGCAAGGCAAATCACAGCTTTATATTAATGCGCTCATTCTAACATGTTATTGTTTCTTTATTGTGCAATTTTATCATGTGCAACCCCAGCGGTTGGGGTCAGTTCCCTGGCCCGGGACTCGAACCTGGGCCACGAGGGTGAGAGCGCCGAGGCCTAACCATGAGTCCTCCAGGAACCCCAAATATGTTGTTGTTTTAATTAATAAAATAATGTCATCTTTGGCAAATGATGTTTTATAATAGGAATGAAACACTTCGGGATGTGCGGAACATACTTCGGAGTGATAACAATAACTCCACTTTGTGTCACTTCATTGATAGATCGTTGATTATTTTCCTGTTGCAGCACACCCTGTTGTGTATTATTCCTTACTAAAACATTAAAACACAAACTATTTTCAATGCTATCTTTATGCAATCACACTTTAATACTCATCTGTCCATTTTTTTTCTGTGTTACCTGGCTCAGGTGTGTTTATAGCTTGTGGTTTAAATGATTTATAGTATGTTAAGTGTAATCACTGTGTTATGAGCCCTTTGGCCAGCCAGCCAGTGGTTTCTGCCATGTTTAAAGACCTGCTGCTGTGGGAAAGCCTTATACTAGCTTCTCTAAGCACAGTCACACAGAGTGATATAAAAAGCGGCTTACCTGGGAGAATAAAGCCTGCCTGGGGATCATGCTCCCATCACTGACCATGCTGGTGTGCTCCCCATGCTAATGTTTTTAGCTGCAGGTTCCCATACGGAAGTGAACACACAGTAAACCGCTGTGCTAAAGCTGCTCGGCTTGCCGCGTTCTCCCCATCTGCTCGCCTTCACTGGGTACCATGGACAGCAACCAATCAGCGTCTGCCTTTTCTCACGCGCGCTCTGACTCCGCCCACCACAGATCCCCTCGAGCACGTGAACTCCACTGTCAGGATGTCTTCTCCAAAATTCCTCTTATTCTTCAATCATGGTGGTGATATTTTTTTTTTTTTTTTTTTTTTTTTTTTTTTTTTTTTTTTTTTTTTTTTTTTTTTTTTTTTTTTTTTTTTTTTTTTTTTTTTTTTTTTTTTTTTTTTTTTTTTTTTTTTTGAGTTTGATGTATTTAATTAAAACTGTGATTCATTCATTCATTCATTCATTCATTTCCCCCTTTTTTGTCATTTATTTCTTTTCTTGTTATTTATATTAGCATTTAAGTGATCCACTGTGTGACCAAAGAGCAATGCTGTTTTGATCTTCATACCTTTGAAAGAATATGGGATTATAATGTGCACAGAGTTTTCAATTGATTTCAAAGAATAACACAATAAAGTGCAAAATAAAATAAAATAAAATAAAATAAAATAAAATCTTAAATAATGATTTAAATAATGTGCAAAATAATCATAATTTTCATTTCAGCTATTATCATGCACACCTATTTATTATTATTATTATTATTATTATTATTATTATTATTATTATTATTATATTTGTTATTTTTTTGGTGATGTTTTTGTCAGATGTGGAAAATCACTAATCTAGGTGCCTTTTGTAGAGCTGGAGGTACTGTAACTAATATAAAACTGCAACCCAAACATGCAAAACATTCCTATGTTGTGGTGTTCCTATCTTGTTGTGAATCCGTGTTCATCACACGGCTTATCAGTGAGAACACTGACATGATCCATCATCATCATGATGACGATGACATGATGACCTTAATTTGAAGCAGCGATACAAGATAGTAGCAAAGGGCTTAGCTTCCTAACATGGAATACCTTTAATCACAAATAAAGCACTCTGATGTTAGACAAATCTGTAACCTACGGTAGATGCTAAGTTACAGCACTGGCTGAATGACCAAATAACATGCCAAATGTTTTTTTTTTCCCCCACAGAATTTATCACCTGCATCCAGATTCTTATATAAGGCTTATACTGATATTATAACTCATTATCACATTATAGTTGCATTATAAACGCTCATGCCTCAAAGAAAGGTCCATGAACAATATATAGTTTCTTCAGAAAGCTAGGTGCTTTCATTTACTAGTCTTTTTTTTTTTTTTTTTTGGCATTACTTATGTGTTCGTCTGCTTTTGGCCATACTATATTGCTTGATCTCTCCAAATTGCAATCCACAGAAAAAGTGTTACTCAGCCTGGATACTTTATGACATGTACAGTACTGTGCAAAAGTCTTAGACAACTTTTTTTTTTTTTTTAATACAAACTTTGTTATAGATTTTTATTTTATGACTTCTACATTATTGATTCAGTACAAAAACTTTTAAAATTTCCAAACATTAGTTTTCCAGCACAAAATTAAATGTTATAGAAAAATGTTTGTATGTCAGTAAAGAAAGCAGCATATCACATAAGAGACACTTCTCAGACAAAAAAACATAATGAAGGCTGCTGGGTTTTGCTGCACAAATAAGAAGCGAGTGTGACAGTCAAAGTCTCCAGAAGAACTGTGGCTGCTTCTGCAAGATGCTCAGTAACACTTACAGCTCATTTCCTTAAAAAACTGCACACACTGTACCTGAGACTACTATTTTTTTTTTTTAAAGCAAAGAGTCGTCACACCAAATATTGACTTTGTTTCATTTATTCCTGTTTATTGCTCTTTATAGTATTTTTTTTTTAATGTAGAAACATTTAATTTCATTATTTTTGAAAGGCATCTTTACTCTACAGCATTTCTTTGCATGTGCCTAAGACTTTTGCACAGTACTATATCAGCGGATTAATGGGAGGATTTTTTAAATCTGCATGTCATGACAGCGATATCTGCTAAAGAAATATACATTCTCAGTAACATATATAGATATAGATATAGACATAATCATTTTGACCATGTGTCACTGTGTAAATTTTGCCCCAGCAGTCTTGAATGCTCAATTCTGATTGGTCAGAAGGTGTTGATTCATTTTCTATAACAGCAGCTCTGGTCAGTAGACAGTAGATCTGGCTGCAAGGCAAATCACAGCTTTATATTAATACGCTCATTCTAACATGTTATTAGATATTAAATTGTATGGCAGATACTCCACATGAACAAATTTGAAAAAAAAAAAAAGTGTAATAGTTGACATGGCTTTCTATGAGTAGACCTTAATTTGGCATTTTTGGAAGGAGTCTCCAGTTTCAGTGCTTTGTAACAGTCAGATGTAACGCTCTAAGTCTGGAGGGCTTTTCTTTTTATCAGTAACATGACAATCTGCTTTTTTTCTGTCTTATTAACTTCAAGAGAGGAAAAAAAGGAGAGGCTGGTGAGTGAGCGACTGTTTATAGCTGTTGTAACAAAAGCAGGAACAGGAACTAACTTGTTTTGCAGACATTTTGCAACAAATCACTGTGGTATAAGACATTTTGGGATGTGTTGTTATAGGAAAATAATAATCAACATTACTGGTGGTGATAATAACTCTGCTTCACATCGAACCACATCACACCACCCCATTGTTGATTATTTTCCTATAACAGCACATCACAAAGTGTTTTATTCCTTTTATACCACAGTGAATTTGCTAATGATTACATTTTTATTCATCAAAGAAGTGTTTTATTCCTTAGCTATCTGTTGTCTGGAATTCATTGCATGTTTCCCAAGTGAATGCAACCTTATTAATAATAATAATAATAACAATAATAATAATAATAATTTAAAAAAGCAAGTGAATTGATAAGATTAACATCTTTCTTACTTTAACTGTGTTGGACTATGTACATAATCTTACTCCATATCTCATTCTTGCCAAACTCTACCATTAATATTTCAGGAACAACAAAGGCATTTCCTTACAACATACCATCTGATCTTACATATTTCTTATGAATCATTGAGCCTGGGAGAATATCTTTGGAGTGTTCATCTGCATGCCTTTCATATTTATTAAAGACAACTCAAGCAGTGATACAACCAGCAATTGCTTAATATTTCATTAAGTATAATTATTACTTTTTCACTGAAACATATATTATGGTTTATGTAAGTTTATATCTGTGTAACTTACATGATAAAAATTCTTGTAGGAAAATGATTGTATTGCATTTATTTATTTATTTATTTAATTTAATTTGGATCTTTTTCCAGCATTTTGTCAGGTTTTATGTCCAATTAGTGGCCTGAAATAACCCTAGAAAGGAAAATCTGATAATCGAACCATAATTTAGATATAACTGTCCAACTATCCCAAAAGAATTATTACATGGACCGAGGCTCAATGGAAATGCACTTAGCCACATTTTCTGGTGGAATAGATACAATGACCAGCATCACTTTTTCCTGTTTGTGTAGTAATTTAAGTGTCCAGAGTTTTCCTCAGAAAATGAGAGCGCAGACAACACGTATCTTGAAATGATTCATTGGCCAGCATTAAACTCAGACGACGTGTCTGCAGTGTGCCGCTCTATAGGACAAGACAAGGCAGGGAATGGGAATGGGAGATATTAATCAAAAGTGGCTATATGACGGTTGTTGTGATTATATCTGACAGGCAATATGTAAATTATTCATAACCAAAACCATTCATTTTTGAATCATAGTTAATGGGAATTTAAGAGCAGCAGTATATAAAACTCAAAACCATGGCCACACAAGCCTTTCCACACCAAATCTGTCACTCAATCACAATCCTGAGAGGTCTATTACTTATATGTGAGTCATGCTGGCACAATATAAACGCTGGTGTGTTGACTAACTACTGACTGTATGTTACTGAACCATGCAAATGATCTGGATTAATAAAAAAAATGAACATCTGCCTCTATAATAGCTATGAGGTTAGTAGCAGCATCTCTTGCTGAATAAATATGTCAAAACAAACTATACTTTGCGCCCAATGCAGTTTTCATATTTAATAACTACTCTAACCTCTTGTACAATTTCTATACAATAAAAAGTAATATTAAAGCTACAGTGAAGGCACACTTCACGTTCTGTAAACAACAGAAGAAAATGTATTTTTAGCTTATGAATCATCAAGGTTTCTTTTTCCTCACTCACAATTCATGAAATATGTGTAGATAAGAATGAACTCCTGTTACTTTAAATACTATTACAACTACTACTACTACTGCTGCTGCTGCTGCTGCTGCTGCTGCTACTACTACTACGTAATAATAATAATAATGATAGATAGATAGATAGATAGATAGATGGATAGATGGATGGATGGATGGATGGATGGATGGGTAGATAG